ACAAAGCTGAGCTTCTTCTTTTACCGGCAGTGGCTGATATTTGGTTAATGCCATCAACTGCACGGTAGTGTGTCGGGCCACTATTGCCTCTGTAGTTGACTGAATACTCCTAATAAACAGGGGTAAAAGGTAAGGGAGGATGAGGCAGATGTGTAGAATAAGTAAGAACCCACTAATGAGGGTTTTGAATCCTCTAAAGTCTGAGAACCATCCTCCAGACAAGGAATCCAGGAACCACTCAGACCAAATCTGAACTGGAATATGGGCCAACTTGCACATTCTAGCTGTGATTTCCACGACAGCTCAGCCATTATCATTGATTTTTAGGCAACAGTCAGTTAAATTAAATTTTCCACATACTCCTCTTTCCGAGGCTAAGAGGTAATCTAAAGTCCATCTATTTTGATATATAACATTCCTCATTTGTGTTGCTTGTATTGCCAATAAATTTAGTGCCCTTGATGTTTTATTGGTTATAATTTCTAGGATTGCCTGCAACCTTATAATGCAGTTGAGCATATAGATGGGGGTACGCTATCCCCATGACCCGTCTTGTGCCCAGGTAGCTGGCCCATAGAATTTAATAATTTTTTCAGGAGGCCATTTAATACTTTTTCAGTCTCCTCTGTCCACATCCTGTTTGATATTTATGTCTATTTTTGTGATTATGCTTCTTTTAGTTCTTCTTTTGTTTTCATCATAAACTGGATATCTTAAGAGTTTTTCTTTTAGTATAGGCAGAAATAGTAACATTAGTGTATGTAATAGAAATATGCTTATATTACACAAAGGCACGGTAAACCTTCCTCTGGGCATAGACATTAGCAGCATTTGCAGTAATAACATAACAACAGAACAATTAGTGTTGACAGAATTATGACTAGGCTTATAAATTGTATTTACATTTACTTATCCGGAGATGGTCCTCTTAACTTAGGCTGTGCATAGACTAGTCAGCTTCCAGGATGTGATTACAGCAGAGCTTGCAGGATCCTCAAGCTTCAGCTGTGTATAGACTGACCAGCCTCCAGAGTGATCAGAGCAGAGCAGTTGTCGTTACTGGTGGTTGGGTTTCACCGTAGGACTATTCGGGTGGGGCAATCTGGGTCTTGGCCAGTCCACTGGTCGTCGGGAGTCACTGCTGCCGCTGGTTTTAGCCAGCTATGGTGAATCCAAGGTGTGACACCTGCAACTTTAACAGCTGTTAAAAAAATTAAGGGAAAAAATATGTAGTGTCATTAAAAGGACAATGAAGTCAGCCTAAAGGGAAAAACTATCAGTTAGTTTTTGTCAAATCAAACGTAACGAAAATAAGTTTTAATTATAACTAATTGAAATAGTTCAAGTCTGTAAAAATCATGAGTTTATAATGATGCTCAAAAGAAAAGCTTTAAATTTCATTCTTCATAAAACACATATACCACTTGTCAAGGCCAAATAAAATATAGAGATAAATCTCCAAAAAGGAAAAATCACATGTCATTTGCAGCAAAAATGATGGAGGCCATTATTGTTAAGTGAATTAACAGAGGAACAGTAAGCCAAATACTACACGTTCTTACTTACATGTGGGAGCTAAACATTGAGTACACATGGACACAAAGAAGGGAACAATAGACCCTGGGACCTGCTTGAGGGTGGAGAGTGGGAGGAGGGTGAGGACTGAACAACTACCTATCAGGTACTGTGCTCACTCCCTGGGTGTTGAAATGATTTGTTCACTAAGTCCCAGAGACACACAATTTAGCCATGTAACAGACCAACATATGTACCCCCTGAACCTAAAATAAAGGCTGAAAGAAAAGAAAAATGATGAAACCAAGATTTGGTTCTTTGATAAGAAAAACAAAATCAACAAACCTTTTTCTAGATTAAAAGAAAGAAGACAAATAAATAAAATCAGAATTGAGAGTGGAGACATTAAAATGATTGCCAGAGAAATAAAAAGAATCATAAGGAGTTATTACAAACAATTGCACAGCAAAATCTAGAAGAAACAGGTAAATTCCTAGATACATACAGCCTACCAAGACTAAATCAAGAAGAAATAGAAATCCTGAACAAACCAATTGTAATAAGGAAGACTAAAGGAGTAATAACAATTAAAAGAAAAAAAAAAACCCACCAACAAAGAAACAGGGTCAGATATTTTCACTGGTGAATTCTACCAAACCTAAAAAAAAAAAATTGAAAAAATTCTAATCCTTTTTAAAGTCTTCAAAAAAGAAGGATAAGAGGGGACACTTCCAAACTCATTCTGTGAAACCAGAATCACCCCAATACCAAAGCCAAATGAAGACAATACAAGAAAAGGAAACTACAGGTCAATATCCCTGACGAATATAGATGAGGTCATGGGTGTGTGCTTCTCTCCAAACACATCAAGTTGTATATATTAAATATCTACAGCTTTGTATGTCAATCATACCTCAATGAAGCAGCTTTTAAAAAGTAAAAGAGATAGATTCAAAAATTATAATTCTAGTCTTTGTAGAATAGGTCTGTTAGACATAATCTTTTTAAATGAAATTGATTATTTACTTATTTAATTTTGATTTAGGCATAAATTTTTCAATATAAATTCTATTTGAGAGTTTTTCTCATCTAACAAAGATGAATTAATGGCATAATATCAGCCTTTTCACCTCAACATTTTAAAAGACAGAGAAATTCCAAAATCCTATTCAACAAAACACATAATAAGCTACATTTGATACAAGGAGAATTTTTTTTTATTATTATACTTTAAGTTCTAGGGTACATGTGCACAATGTGCAGGTTTGTTACATATGTATACATGCGCCGTGTTGGTGTGCTGCAGCCATTAACTCGTCATTTACATTAGGTATATCTCCTAATGCTATCCCTCCCCCATCCCCCACCCCACAACAGGCCCCGGTGTGTGATGTTCTGCTTCCTGTGTCCAAGTGTTCTCATTGTTCACTCATAGGTGGGAATTGAACAATGATACAAGGAGAATTTTTTAATAGAAGAGCATGAATAAGAAAGGGTTAAAGAAAAGTGAAGTACATATCAGGAAATATGTTGCTTCTCTATGTCTTCACTATTAAAATTGTTTATTTTGTAGGAAAAATTGTGGCATAGCTGTCATGGAAACAATTTACCAGCTGCACTGCAGAGTAATTGCTGTTCCTATACTATAATGTCATTGTGTTACACTTACCTAATAAGGCTTGTAATATTAAATTGCAATGAAAATTTCCTTCAGATAAAATTTTATAATTATTTTTATATCTTAGAATTTATTCTATTATGATTGTCATGCCAAATATTGATTTTAACACTTAGCATAAATCTATGTGAAAAAAATTTGCACCTGAAAAAGTATATAAATATAGTCATTGCCTCATTTATAAGGAGCAGGGAGAACTAGAAATGATTTAAATGTTCTTTAGCAGCATCTGGTTTATAAGTTATAAAAAAACTAAACAATATATTTAAGATCAACTTCCAAAAGCATGGATTTAATATAAAGGTAATTTTCAAAACATAAAAGTATGCATAGAGTCATTCTATTTGTATAAAAATGAATAAACAATATTTTATACATATTTCAGTTAAGTAAGCCTAGCAAATATCTCAAAGTAGATACAAGAAATCATTAAGCATGGTCAACTTTAGAAGAATACACACTAAGGATAGTTATGAGGGCTTTTACTTGTCACATGCTTTTCATATTGTTAATAAAAAACATATTACTTCTATAATTTGGGGAAATCAATGAAACAAAAGATATAAAAATATATATTTTGGCTGAAAAAATATTAATTTATTGATTTCTATTTAATTGTATATTGATAAAAATTAACATACAGTTGTTTAGTAATATTGATGGTTGCCGGTTGATTGTAATTAATAAGAGATGAACTGTGGTAATTATGTTCATCATTTTATAATTCACATAGCTCATCCACTAGATAGCTTCTATTTTTTTACTGATCAAAAGCCATTTGCTAAGAATACACATATTAAATATGGGTATATTGTTTAATATACACCTACATAATTTAAAGATACTTTAAAAATTGTATTACTATAAAACAGAGAATGCAGAGAAAATTGACCAGTACATTGAAATTTTAAAAAGTCCCTTTGAGAACAAGAATATTTTCTCACACATGGAAAATCCGTGAGTCACTGGATGTGGGGATTACCAAGTCATGTACATCATACTTATACCTCCTGATTTGTGAACTTAAATCAACTGAGACCAGTGTGATCTTATTCTCAAGTATCTTTAAGTAAGGGGAAGGCACATTTAACTATTCTTCCAGAGAAGCATTAAATTCTTTTTTTTTTTTTTTTGATACAGGGTCTCGCTCTATCACCAGGCTGGAGTGCAGTGGTGCAATCTTGGCTCACTGCAACCTCTGCCTCCCAGGATCAAGCGATTCTCCTGCCTCAGCCTCCCAAGTATCTGGGATTACAGATGCATGCCACCATGCTTGGCTAATTTTTGTATTTTTAGTAGAGGTGGGATTTCACCATGTTGGCCAGGCTGGTCTCGAACTCCTGACCTCAAGTGATCCACCCACCTCGGCCTCCCAAAGTGTGGGAATTACAGGTGTGAGCCACTGCTCCCGGCCCAGAGAAGCATTGAATTCTAACGTCTAATTGAAACTGCTTTTTGTGACCTTCAAATACATTTCTCCCAGTGTAGGCTGCAACATAGAACTAAAATCCCCAAATAATTCAGAACAAGAGAATTAAACTACCTGCTGGGTCTCTGAGACTTCAGAAGCTGCATTATGTTGTGAAAAACTAAGCTGAGTTTCAAAGTGGTCTTATCACATGAGGCTGCCCTGCTGAGGTGGACCCTAGTAGTCAGCCTAGTAGTAGCAGCCTAGTAGTCAGCGCAAGGTAAGAGGGACATAAATCCACAACATTAGAATATTCAAGAGCTACAAATGAAGGAGAAAGAAAAACCATAAAAGATGAAAAAGAATTCAGGTTGCCATGTCCTAAATACACACACTATATGCTCAGCTTTGTGCTGTGCTGTCTAAGTCTTCTTTTCAGTTACCAAATGTGTGGATGGTACAGATCCAAAGTGAAATTGAGAGTGCAGAGGTGAGCTCCATATTGTCAAGGAAAAACTGGGGGATGAGTTATGCCTTGAAGAAACTGGAGACATTTGGTCCAACAAAACAAAACAAGATTTTTTAAAACTCTCCTATTTCCCCATGGGCAGTCTATTTGTGTTGATGCTTTATCATTTCATAATTTCCTCATTTCGTTGTTTCATGGAGTGAAGAGAACTGACATGCTGTCCAATAAACTTCCTTGTTCTCCTTATGCAAGAAAGGAAATCCTGACTTAATGTATAACCACAGAACAAGTAATATTCTACATCTATCGGAGTTGAACTTCCTAAAAGACAAAGTGTTCATCTTTCAAGATTCATTCTCCCTGAATCTTACCAACAAAACACCCCTGAGGAGAAAGAGAGGGAGGGAGAGAAAAAGAGAGAGAGAGAAACAAAAAGCCAAAGAGAGAGAAAAAAATGAATTCATCAACATCATCTGAATCACAATGCACAGGTAAAATTTGCAACTCTTCCTTTTCTTTCACAGATCTCTTTTTGGAACAAGTAATAAATATGGTGAAAGATAGGACAATAGAAAAGTATTCACTGAAGTTAAAAAAAAAAAAAAAAGGAGACGGTGAAGAGAGAGAGATTGGAAGGCTATTTCTTATACCAGAAAGCCTGCTGGACTCTAGTTAAGGGAGAGCTATCACTGTTTCCACCCTTTCTGCAATGCACTGTGTCCCTTTTGGCAAATCACTTCACTTCTCTGGAACGCTCTTTGTCTGTAAAATGTGTAATGGGAGGAAGAGAGGAACTACTAGATAACTGTTAATATTTTACCTAATTTACAAAGAGCTTGAAAAATGAGACACAGAAAAAAAAAAGATCAGGAGAAAGACAAGAAAAGCAACGATGAGAAAAGGGAAAAGAAAGAAAAAGAAAGGTGGCCTTAGAAAATATTGAAAAAAATTTAACTGAGAGACTTAGAAAGGAAAAATTGTATATCTGAGTTCATGAGTCAGAGTCTTACTCCAGGGGTTCTAATCGTGTGGTCCTCAGTCCAGCAGCAGCAGTAGCCCCTGGGAACTTGTTGGTTCCATACAAGCTCTACTGATTGCTAACTCTGGGAGTAAGGGTCAGCAATCTGTGTTTCAATAAGCCCTCCAAGTGATTCTGACGCATGCCGAAATTTGGGAATTACTCAATACAGACAATGGAAGTAGAAGGAAATAAGTAAGGATGAATAAGTATCTCTTCTATCTCTTTTGTACCTTGCTTAGGGAAGATTGATCATGCTTGTGTCTTTCTTTCTACAGAGAGAGGATGCTTCTCTTCCCAAATGTTCTTATGGACTGTTTCTGGGATCCCCATCCTATTTCTCAGCGCCTGTTTCATCACCAGATGTGTTGGTGGGTTCTGAAGGTCAAATTCAATTTAATTCTTCCTGGTGCATATTAGGTGAAAACTCTTCCATGCTGCCTGTACATTCTATTTTCCCTCAAAAGGTCTTTCTATTTCACTTTTTTTTTTTTTTTCCTATTAATCTCTAGGTTATTTCTCAAACCGGAAACCTCAACAAGCAGGGAACTGTTTCCGAATTTTAATCACCTGTGACTTACTTTTCATGATAGACATTTTTCACTTCCTTGGCAGTCCTGAGTCCTCCTCTTTCAGCGTCTATCGTTAGTGTAACCTTCTCTAGGAGATTCTGCCTTAGAGCTTGAACTACTGGTCGGGACCAGAGACATGACTAATTATTTTTGGAAGGAAGGGTAGAGAGAGTGGACTTGGCATAAGAGGGAGTGCAAACATATCTGTTTTCTCTGGGTCATAAGAAAAAGCAGATTGTAAGAAAAAACATAATAATTATTGTCACTTTTGTTATAAATAAAAAACTGAGGGAACTGATTTTTTTAACCAAAATAAGACTAACAAACATTATACCCTTTCCTTTACAGTGACGTATCACATCTTTCAAACCTGTGATGAGAAAAAGTTTCAGCTACATGAGAATTTCACAGAGCTGTCCTGCTACAATGATGGATCAGGTATAATAGTCCCAAAGATGAACATCAAAATTTACATAGCAACATTTTCTGGCTTCTAGATTGACTTTGGGACAGGTGAAATATAGTTGGATTAGGTCTTATTTTTCAAAAGCAAAATGTAAAATCCTAGAAATTTGGAGATGCAATTAGCATTGGAGCAGGAAGTCTTGGGGAAATTATAGTAAACTTTTATAATACATTTGAGGTATGTCTGAACAGTAAATCCAGAAGTCGAAGGTATTATTCCCAGGAGTGTACTTTTTCTTCATTCACCTACTTCCAAAATGAGATGAAGGAGAAAAAAACGTATGGAGTAGAGAATTTATAAATATTTCACAAATATACTCTATGCTCTTGTATGTCATCCTGTTCCAAGTCTTAGCAAAATGCTACATGACACTAAAAAAGTGGCCTCCTTCTCTGAGCTATAACTTTCTCACCATTAAATTGAGAGAAGTTAGATGAATTATTTATAATAGACCTCAAAGGCAAAGGTTCTGTAATTCTAAGAAATCTAACACATCTATATACTACAGTATGGAGATTTGATTGAGGATACATTGTTCAGGAAACATAAGAGATGGCTCTTTGGGGGTCACCCAAATAAAATGCATAAATTTCTCTGACATTAGTAGTCTAAGAACAGATAATAAGGTTCTATATCAATAGCATAACTAAGATAGCTTGCACATATAGTTGCATTTCCTGGCATTGACATCCAGAGAACGAGAATTATATTCAAAAGACCAAAAAAATTCTGTTGATGTTTCTTGACATTGGAATTATCTAAAGTCTTAGATACTAAGATGTGGGGTATGAGCAAGTGATTCCAAGGCTTCTGACTTAAATGAGGACTCCATGGGGCCAGATGAAGCTTTGGATTTTCTTATTCGGTTCACCTGGGACACTCACTGAAACATCTCTCATCCTAGGTTCAGTCAAGAATTGTTGTCCATCGAACTGGGAGTATTTTCAATCTAGCTGCTACTTCTTTTCTACTGACACCATTCCCTGGACATCAAGTTTAAAGAACTGCTCAGCCATGGGCGCTCACCTGGTGATTATCAACTCACAGGAGGAGCAGGTAGCTGCAGTCCTCCAATGCCAGCGTAACATTCCCCACATGGTCTACCTCTCTTTTCATACATATGCTCAGTGCTTGATCCCCAGTGACTGTGGTTAATGAATGTACTAAAATGCATGCTGTTCTTACCATTCCGGTAAAGTCACTGCCTACCTTAATTTATTTTCCTTCCTAGAAGAACCTAAGAAAAAGGGAATTTCCGTGTGGAGTTCCTTTAATTAGGCAAGGGGAAAAAAGAGGGTTGGAAGTTAATTTTAGACTAATCATTATGTTTATGAACATATTATATGCAAGAAGCGAAGCAAATATTGTCTGTTTTCTTTAAGCTGTGATTAATAATGTTTTGCACTAGATATATTCAATAAATTTGGCCACCAATAACAGTAGATAAACTTTGAAAGAATTGTTGAGGATCTCCTTTTCTGTTGAAGGTTATTTTTTGTCAGTTTAATTTCTTGTTATGTGCATTTCACCACCAAAAAAATCAGTAGATAATCCTCATGATCTTACAGTTTCATTTATCTGTCATTTCTCATCCAGATTCTTTTTTATTTTTTGAGATGGAGTCTCGCTGTGTTGCACAGGCTGGAGTACAGTGGCGCGATTTCGACTCACTGCAACCTCTGCCTCCCAGAGTCAAGCGATTCACCTGCCTCAGCCTCCCAAGTAGCTGGGACTACAGGCACCCGCCACCATGCCTAGCAAAATTTTTTGTAATTTTCATAGAGACAGGGTTTCGCCATGTTGGTCAAGCTGGTCTCGAACTCCTGACCTCAGGTGATCCACCACCTCGGCCTCCCAAAGTGCTAGGATCTCTTCCAGATTCTTACCTCTTTTAATAAGAATTACCAGCAACGTTTATTCAAAACTGAAATAACTGATCTCCTTTTATTTTGTATCTTCCATAGGAATTCCTTGCCTATAAGAAACCTAAAATGAAAGAGTTTTTTATTGGACTGTCAGACAAGGTGGTCGAGGGTCAGTGGCAATGGGTGGATGGCACACCTTTGACAAAGTCTCTGAGGTAATTACTCTCCTATTGAGAGGAGCTCTTGAAACCTCGTTCTGTTTCCTGCAACAGATCAGGTCCATTCTTGGTGGTATTAAATGCAGGAAAGAAAAGAGCTTAGGTAGAAAAGACGAAGGAGAAGTACAAGCACTCACTTCTCTCCTTTCCTGGGATTGTCTCAAGAATAAAGGGGAAATAATAAATGAAAATGAACTGAAGAATCATTCACTGAGAATGCAAAAGAGACAAGAGGTGGAATTAAGATTCTTATTCCCCAAAACTGAAGGAAATGAGGAAAAAAATAGTAAGTTGAGAAAGACAGCAGGTTCTTATGCAGTGAAAAATGAGAATCTCTTGACAATGTGTCTTTTCTCCTTAATAATATCCTCACATCATTAGAGCATGGCTTTTTTTTAAATTGTGGACATGCTTTTTTTGTTTGATTGATTGATTGATATATAAAATATTTTGCTATATATATTGTTTCTCACGATTTGTTAGTGAGTAAGGTTTTTTTCTTTTTTCTTTTCTTCAACTTTTATTTTAAGTTCCAGGGCACATGTGCAGGATGTGCAGGTTACATGGGTAAACGTGTGCCGTGGTGGTTTACTGCACAGACCATCCCATGATCCCGGTATTAAGCCCAGCATCCATTAAGTATTCTTCTTAATAAAGCATCGCATTTTTAATTTTTCAAAGTTCTTTTCTCATTTATTATTTCAGTTTTATTATTTTATTATTATTTCATTTTACCTAAATTACACTTTCCTAGAATGTTAATTGTTCATCTGTATTTAGCATTTGAGGAAACTAAAACTCAGAAAAGTTAAGGGATTTAGCGAATGAGCAGTTCTAAGAATACAACACAGATACTCTGACACTTAGAAATACTGCTTCACAACCACACTGGAACACCACTGCAGGATGCACCTAAGTTAATACACACTCTGTGCAGAATAAAGAGAGCCAAGCCAATATGAGATATGAGTGTGAAGAAAACAAATCTATCAGAATATCAATCTTCCCTATAACTTGTCATTCTATAGCTAAGGAACAGGACAGAATAGAAAAGGAACAAAGGAGCAGGACAGAATAGAAAAGGAACAAAGGAACAGGACAGAATAGAAAGTCAGAAAGATCCAGTTCAGCTTCAGTACTCACAAACTGTGACTTAGACAAATGGTTTAGCTTTCCTGAGGTTCCTTTTCTTCTTCAATAAAATGGACATTATAATACCTGCCTCGCAATACTGTTGTGAGGTTAAACAACACAAACACAATTTGCCTGGTATATGAGGTTACTTTACCTCTTTTTGCTGGGATTCGAAGTCTCCTATGTCATTCTTTTTCAGCTTCTGGGATGTAGGGGAACCCAATAACATAGCTACCCTGGAGGACTGTGCCACCATGAGGGACTCTTCAAACCCAAGGCAAAATTGGAATGATGCTACCTGTTTCTTCAGTTATTTTCGGATTTGTGAAAGGCTAGGAATAAATATTTTGAACAAAGGAAAATCTATTTAAGAACAGAAGGCATAACTTCAATGGATAAAGACGGAAGGACAAGAACATGGCCACACCCACCGCCCCACACGAGAAACTTGTGCGCTGCACTTCGAAGGACTTCATAAGTATTTGTTACTCTGATATAAATAAAAATAAGTAGTTTTAAATGTTTTAACTCATGTTACTGGCTGAAGTGCCTTTTCTCTCTACATTAGTCTCAGGTCCTCTTCCCAGAATTTACAAAGCAATTCACTACCTTTTGCTACATTTGCCTCATTTTTGAGTATTTATATGAAAGTTCAGGGACACGGAGCCAAGACTGAGTCTAGCAAAGAAGAGGATTTTGGAAGGTGTCTTCCAACAATCGCCTGAATCTAGGCTCTGTAGCAGGTCCTCTTCTTTCTATCTTCTGACAAGTCTGTCTTCTCTTCTTGATTTCATACCGTTCTTATCTCCTGCCCAAGTGTATCGTCTCTGTGCTTCCCTATATAAGGAGTAAGAAACTTCTTCAAGTCATGGAACTTGTTCCTGCTCACAATACTGGTGTTGCCTTTCTGAGTACAGACCTCCACTGCACCTTCTTAGGGAAGGGCATGCTGGCCATCAGCTCCAAACAGGCTGTAACCAAGTCCACCCATCCCTGGGGCTTCCCTTGCTCTGCCTTATTTTCAATTAACCAAATGGATCTCACCAGATTTTGTATCTATTGCTCAGCTAGGACCAGAGTCCAATAGTCAAATTATTATAAGAGAACATTCATCTCCACACTTTCCTGTCTCAAGCCCATCCATTTTTTTTTTTAACTTTTATTTTAGGTTTCGGGGGTACATGTAAAGGTTTTCCATATAGGTAAACTCATTTCTTGGAGGTTTTTTTGTACAGATTATATTATCACCCAGATATTAAGCCCAGTGCCCAATATTTATTTTTTTTCTGCTCCTCTCCCTCCTCCTACCTTCCGCCCTCAAGTAGACCCCAGTGTCTGTTGTTGCCTTCTTTGTGCTTATGAGTTCTCATCATTTAGCTCCCACTTGTAAGTGAGGCCATGCAGCATTTGGTTTTCTGTTCCTGTGTTTGTTAAGGATGATGGTCTCCAGTTCCATCTATGTGCCCACAAAAGACATAATCTTCTTTTTTATGGCTGCATAGCATTCCATGGTATCTGTGTATCACGTTTTCTCTGTCCAATCTATTATTAACTCACATTTAGATTGATTCCATGTCTTTGATATTGTGAATAGTGCTGCAATGAACATTCATGTGCATGTGTCTTTATGGTAGAATGATTTATGTTTCTCTGAGTATATATCCAGTAATAGCCCATTCATTTATTGCATAAAATTCTACCAACACTGATGATGTTATTAAAGATTACATCAGTAACGTGGCAGCTTTCATAACCATGTTTCTTGCACAAAGTGCCATGAGGAGACCTTCAAAATTCAATCATTGGACGTCACGTGTAATCACTGAATGAGAAAATTCAACTGGACAAGTGAATATAACACATCAGCTTTCTTTACAAAAGTTTATTTCTCTTAGGCATTGTGACAATCTGGTTTTGAAATCAACACACCTTTAAGCCAAACATTATTTAACCTAAAAGTGATTTTAAACACACTTTCAACATTCTAATTCCCTTTTTTAAAATCACGAACATCAGTAAGGAGCTGTTGAAAGACATTTTTTTGTTGTTGTTCATTGGTGTTTTCCTGAAGGTGGCTATAATTTAAGTTTTATTTCTATATTGAAAGAAGACAAGTTTATAAAATTAAACTTGTCAAGTTTGCCAAGAAAGAACTGCTAAGGGTTTAGTGGTTAGAGGTTGTTGGAACATAAATTATCTATTAGAAAAATTATTTTTTGAGAAGTAGGTCATCCAATTGAAATTGTTTTAAAATGTAATATTTTATAAGTGGGGTTACACAAACACTTTACCGCCTGAGGCACCAGAAAACCCAGAAATTTTCAAGGGATAATAGATTCATTAATGATACATATTCTGAAGAGCAATTCCCCAAATAAACCGCTGTTAAGATTTACATACTAATATATGGGTCCCCAATTTTTTTAAGAAAAATTACTCTACTATTTTCTGTAAAATGATACATGCTCATTACCAAAAATTCCTACAGATCACAATTACAGAAAGACGAAATTTTTAAAATTCCATTTCCAAGTTACAGTAATAATTATCATGAACGTCACTCCAGGAAACTTTCTGGTTATTTTATTTTATTTTATTTTATTTTTTTGAGACGGAGTCTCGCTCTGTCGCCCAGGCTGGAGTGCAGTGGTGCAATCTCGGCTCACTGCAAGCTCCGCCTCCCGGGTTCCCGCCATTCTCCTGCCTCAGCCTCCCGAGTAGCTGGGACTACAGGCGCCCACCACCTCGCCCGGCTAGTTTTTTGTAGTTTTAGTAGAGACGGGGTTTCACCGTGTTAGCCAGGATGGTCTCCATCCCCTGACCTCGTGATCCGCCCGCCTCGGCCTCCCAAAGTGCTGGGATTACAAGCGTGAGCCACCGCGCCCGGCCTCTAGGAAACTTTTTATGCTTTTAATGGGGTGCAGGAAATGCTACCTCAAAATATGGCACCTTGGGAATTGAGAAAACAGCAAAAGCGGGAAGTCCACTCTCATTTTTCCCTTGCCCTTCTTACCGGAAGCAGGCAGTAAAAGATACTGCTTTAAAAGATACTACTTTTTCTCCCCTATGACTTTAAGAGTTAGATGAAAAGATGGAAAAACAAAGAGTAAAAAAAAAAAACCAAATATATATATATATATTTATATGCATACACACATACACACACGCACTGACACTTTTAGAAAGGAATTATACAACAGATAATACTTCCCTTTTTAAATTTGTTTTGGTTTTAATTGACACATAATAATTGTACACATTTGTGGGATACAATGTGATGTTTCAATACATGTGTATGTTCTATAATAATCAAATCAGGGTAATTAGCACATTCACTACCTCAAACGTGTAAAACATTGAAGTGAAATTGAAGAATTACTGAGTTCAAGAATGTTACAGCCTTTATAGATTATGAAGAAAAGTTATTTCCCAGAAAGTCCCTCTGAAGTAAAAAGCAAAACAAAACAAACAAAAAATTATAAACAATCAACAATTAAGTCAAATCTTTTTGCTCTTCTGTTTCCCAATCCTCTTTTCTGCCTTTCCGTTTCCTGATGATGACTCATAAAATCATGGCCAGGTGGGTGGAGCCGAGCAAGCTGGTCTTTGTACGTGTGCACATGTATATGTGGGAGGGGGAGAGGGACGCATGACTACCCCTCAGGGAGTTAGATCCCAGACAGTGTAAAGCGCAGATTGTGGGGGAAAGAGGAGAGAGTAAGGATGTCAGAACGCCAGTGGGTTGAGCAGGGCATCCTAGTGGGGGCTGGACTGGCCCAAAGTCTCAAAGCCTGAGCTAGAGTGAGGAAGACACCCCCACGTGGGGATAGTTGAGCAAAGGTGTCTGAGCTGAAGCGGGAGGACTACCTAGGAGGGCCACAGGGCACCTGGCGGGGTGAGGTGGATGTTCACACAGGTCATTCAGCAGAGGATGGAGAGAGAGAGCCTGAGTGGGTCAGCACATGTCTTGCAACATGTATTTAAAATTTCGCACAGTTTACTCTTGGGTATCTTAGCATTTTATTGCCATTGTAAGTGTAATATTTATTTTCTACATTTTGCAGAGTATTATATTGCTGATTTTTGTATAATAATAATTTATTCAGAAACACTGTTTAACTTCCCTAATTTTTAAAAACACTTTGTCCGTACATTCCCTTTTATTTTCTGTGTAGATAATTATACTGTCTAAAAACTGAGCTATCCAGTACAGTAGCCACCAGCCACAGTAGGCTATTAAGCACTATCCTATTTGAGATATTCTGGAAGTGTAAAATGCACACTAGTTTTTTGATAATTTGAAAAAAGAACATAAAATATGTCACTAAGAATTTTATATGGATTACATGTTAAAATGATAATATTCTAGATATGTTTACTTAAATAAAATAAGTTGTTAGAATTAATCTCACCGGTTTGGGCTTTTTTATTTATTTATTTATTTTGCTTTCTTGATATAATTACTGGAAAATTCAGACATATGCAACTCACATTTTTGCCTTTTACTATATTTCCCTTGGACAGTTCTGGTCTAGACATAATGATGGTTGTAGGTTTTTAAAATTCCCTTCCAGTTTTTTTGGTCATATTGAGCTGGCTAGGAATGTCAATACATTGTTGCATAAAATTGCTATAGTTTTGTTCTTAAACTTAAAGAAAATGCTTCTAATGGCTTACTGTTAAATATAATAGTTGCTACAGGTTTGGGGTAGGCACCCTGCAGAAAATTCCTTTCATTTCTCATTTGTTAAATGTTTTAACACTAAGTGGTTTATTGATTTTACTAGATGATGCTTAAGCATCTCCTTTAAAATGTTGATAAGATTATTACATTAATAGATTTGCACACTATGTACATATATGCACACTGTTTAAAAAACCAATTCTTCTATAGGATTGTAATTAAAAATAGCTGTTTCCTGCCCACTTCTGATTCCCACACCTAGGCGGCAATTGTATTCAACTCTTTAGATGCTTCTTTTCTATTGAGTTCCATGTTTCTATTTCTATCAAATAGTTTATACTATAATTTCTTGAGCTTTTTCAGTTTCAGATAATTTCTATGAGTGCCACACTAATGAAAACAAGAATAGTCTTCTTTCTCTCTCTCTCTCTTTCCTATCCCCCTGCTAACACTATATAATTATTTATTTAAAAACCAATATTCAACATTTGCATTGATATGAATATGTAAATATTATTCATAGCTGAACTATTTATTGTATTATTACATATTTTTAATTACATTTTGCTTTTTATGGAGTTAATATTGACATCTTTTCTTTTTTTGGAGACAGGATCTCACTCTGTCACCAGGCCAGGGCACAGTGACACAATCATGGCTTCATTGGAGCCTCGATCTCCTGGGCTCAAGCAATCCTCCCATCTCCGCTTCCCAAGTAGTTGTAGTTAGGACTACAGGTGCATACCACCAAACACAGGTAATTTTTTTAAATTTTTGGTAGAGACAGAGTCTCACTATGTTGCCCAGGCTAGTCTCAAACTGCTGGCCTCAAGTAATCCTCCTACCTT